ACTCACATCTGCTTTTCTTTCCTTCCTTCCCTGACAGGCGGCTGTGGTGCTTCAGGCAGCTTTCAGGGGACATCTGGTGCGGACAAAGCTCTTAGCAAGCAAAGCACATGGCTCAGAGGCTCCCAGTGTGCCAGGCCTCCCAGACCAGGTAACATCGGGTGGGCGCAGGCCGTCCCAGCGGCTGTCTCCAGAGCTGCCTCTCTCACACTCCAACCACTGAGAAAGCGCAGGGCACCGCCCAGCCTCCACATCCCCGCTTGCCCAGCAGGCGTCCCCCATGCTCCATCCCTGGCCACGAGGGCCATACAGGCCCCTCTTCACAGGCCCTGGATGGGTGTGGCTTTAGGGCCAGATTGCCTTGAGCTGCCCGAGAGTCAAGTAGTTCCATAAAGATGTAGCTAAAAACTACTAAAGCCAGGCGCAGGCCATGCTGGCCCCTCCTCTGTAAGGAGGACAAGTGTTTGTTTCAGAATCTCTACAGTTTAAAACTTCAGAACCTGCTGCCAGGAGGTTTCTCACTGACCAGCAATTCCCAGGGGGCAGGGCCACCTGAAGGGGAAACTGAGCTCTTCCTGTCTCCCTGACACCCAGGGTGCACTGGGGGTTGAGTTCTGGGAGCCGGTAGGGGGCTGCCACCTGGTCATCTTCCCTGCTGTCCTTGCACCACAGAGCTCTCCCGTGCCCCATGTTGCAAGCCCCATTGCCCCGGCCGATGGCAGCTCTGCACAGGAGGAAGCCATTGTCATCATCCAGTCTGCTCTTCGGGCACACCTGGCCCAGGCCAGCCACAGGTGAGTTGGGGTCACAGGGACACGGGACACAGATGCCGCGCGGGACACTGCCTGCTGCAGTGGGCCTGGAGCACTGGGCACAGGACCCGTCACAGGAACTGGAGCAGCGCCTGCCGCCTGCCAGCAGGACCTCAGTTTGGGGCCAGAGTAAAGGCCTCATGTCCTGAGGACTCCCTGCCGCGCCACAGACGTGGAGTGGACTGGAAGTTCTGATTCTCAGGGAGAGGCTTTTCCAGAGTCCCTTCTTCCCTACTGGGAGGAGACCAGCTGAGGAGCTTCAGACACCACAGAGCTCAGGTCACCATCCATCTGTGGTGTGGCTTTCAGCTGTGCTGATAAGTCATCCCTTTGTAAAGAAAACTGTGATGTGATCTCATTGTTGGACATGGCATATGATAGGCGACTCGTGCAGGGTCTAGATGGCAGCCTTCCTACTGGCCTCCTTGGCAGCTTCACTAGGACTCTCTTGGTGGCAGAAAACCCCTTGAAGTGAACCTGGGCAGAGGGGGAGTTCAGTAAGGGGAAGAGACAGCCCCGCTCCCTCACCCCCCTCTGCGTCACCTCGTGTGGGGCTCATGCCCCTCTTACCATGGACACTGTGGTTCTAAGCCTCCATGGCAGAGCCACACAACCAACCAGCACTTTCAAGTGGGCAGTTTCCCCCTACAAGGCTGCATCTGCATCTCATGGTCCTGACCCCATGTGACCTGGAACATGCTATGGATTCAACTGAGTCAGGGACCCATCCCTGGGCAGGGAGCCCCAGCCAGGACGTAGAGGGCCATGCAACCTGTGTCCACATCACCTGGAAATGGCAGCTGCCTGACCCAGACAGGAGACAGGGAAGGGAGCTGTCTGAGGCCCTTTATAAAACTGAACTGGCCTGACGTCAACATGGGCCCTGAGGAGATGGACAGGGGACATACGTGTCTGAGGCTCTTCACAACCAGACATGTCAGGATCCTGGGCGCATCTAGGGTACAGGGCTGGCCTCGGGGCTCAGGGCTGGCCGTGTCTTTGCTTTTATTGGAATACTTGCCTTTAGGCAAATTACTGAGCCCTGCCGTAAACCTCAGAGAGGTCTGAATTCTCTAAAGTCAGAATCAGTTGGAGTTTTCTTTTTTTCTAGTGCTACCAGTAAAAGAACCACCACATCAGCTTCTGCTAAGAGGAGATCGGCTTCAGCCACACACAGGGACACCTCCTTGCCACCCTTCCTCGAAGCTCCTCCTGGTAATTTCATTCATTTGGATTATGGCACGAGGGCAGCTGCTCTGCTGAGGTCTAAGCCAAAGAGTAGCCGCCTCCAGGAAGCCTGGGCTGTGTTGGGACAGAAAGGAGGAGTGTCCCATCTGGAGCTGCCTTGAACTAAGCATCGCCTTATGCCAGGAAGGCTCCTGACAGGGCCTCCCTTGGCCCAGCTTGCTCCTTGTCCCTGGGACTGTAGAGGTCCTTGCTGTCTGTCTTTCTGCTCTCAGCTCCGTTGGGACCAAGGCAGCTTCCTCCTTTGGGCCAGCATTTCTCTCGTTTGTTCATTTGCTAAGTAAAACTTTGTTATTATTTCCTTTTCTACTTTGTTAAAGGCCAAAACCACTCAGTGAAGAAGTCCCTGGCACTGCAGGATGCCACACCCTCATATGAGGCCTCATCCCTGCTCTTGCAGTGGTGTGATCTCGGCTCACTGCAACCTCCACCTCCCGGATTCAAGTGATTCTCCTGCCTCAGCCTCCCCAGTAGCTGGGACTACAGGCGTGTACCACCATGCTCAGCTAATTTTTGTATTTTTAGTAGAGACAGGGTTTCACCATGTTGGCCAGGATGGTCCCGATCTCTTGACCTTGTGATCAGCCCACCTCAGCCTCCCAAAGTGCTGGGATTACAGGCGTGAGCCACCATGCCCAGCCAAAAGCCCATCTCCACCCCCAAATTTCTGCTGCTCTGTGTGGACTTGAGATTCCGTTCTTATTCTGCAGTTAGAAACCCCTCACTGACACTTTTCTGTAAACAGAGGCTGAGTGCAGAGGCGTGGTGTTGAGACCAGAGGCTGTCAGGAGATGGACAAGTGCATCTTGAGACCCTGTAACAAGTGTGGCATACAGGGCTGTCTCACATGCGAAGTGTCAGGCCAAGGGCTTTGCTGTGCGGAGTCCTTAGGTCTCCAGGGTGGAGTTGGGGAAGGACAGGGTCCACAGGACAGCAAGAAAACCCACAAAGGGAGTGGCTCTTCTGAGCCCAAAGGGTGAGGGTGAGGAGGGCTAGTGGGCAAAGGAAGGATGAGGCCTGCCCAGGACCACAGGGCCTGCAGGGCCTGTCCATGCAGGGACCATGTTGGCCAGGATGGTCCCGATCTCTTGACCTTGTGATCAGCCCACCTCAGCCTCCCAAAGTGCTGGGATTACAGGCGTGAGCCACCACGCCCAGCCAAAAGCCCATCTCCACCCCTAAATTTCTGCTGCTCTGTGTGGACTTGAGATTCCGTTCTTATTCTGCAGTTAGAAACCCCTCACTGACACTTTTCTGTAAAGGGACACTTTTCAGTGTCCCTGCAGGACAGGCCCAGGGAGCTGGTAGCCCCTCAGCACCACTCCAGTAAGTGTGGCGGGCGGAGGCCTCGCTTTCCCAAGGAGATCCCTCCTGTGATGACACAGAGGGAGTCACGAGAAGAGGCGGAGCCTGGGCCTGCAGCAGACCTGGAGGCCCCAGTGCCTTCCTTCCCCAGGGGGTCCCATTAGGGGCTTTGTTTTAGAGAATCTCCTGCATGAGCTAAGACTTTTACACCACAATTTGTCCTGACAATCACCATGTATGAAATTACATTTTATTCGTTTCAGTCATTTCTTAACCTAGTTTCATCAGAGCTAGAAAACTTTGAACTTTGATATTCTCTCCGAAACCTCCATTTGTGAAGCTCAACAAAAAGATGAGCAGCCCTGGGGTTTCAGGGAAAATGTACAGACACGCAAAGCCTGAAAAGCCGCCGAGCCTGCCTGTGACTCTCGGACTCTGCAAAATGCTGTGAATTGTCCTCCAGGAGCTGATTCTGCCGGCCTCACCAGACTCTGCACGGGTGACCTTTAGCAGCTTTGATCAGGGCTAAAGCCTGCATTGATGCTGCCCTTTTCTCTTGCTAAACGCAAGTGATTTTAAAGGGGCAGGTTCATCGTCCTGCCTGAAAGCACCATTATGGTGCCCCAGGGATTCAGCTTTACCGACCTAAGGAAATGTCTCTGTGAAAAGTATAAATCAAGCTTTTGTTTGAGCTGTTTTTTTTTTTTTTGTTTTGTTTTTTTTTAGGAGAAAAAGGAGATAGACTTGAAAACTGTTTTTAATTTCATAAGGTTCCCTTTACAATTCAAGAGAACAATGACCAAAACCTGACTCAACCACTTTCTATCTGTGTAAATTTCTTTATTCTTTCTCTTTTCTTTCTTTTTCACTCTGTTACCCAAGCTAGAGTGCAGTGGTGCCATCATGGCTCACTGTAGCCTTGACCTCCCAGCCCCAAGTGATTCCTCCACTTCAGCTTCCCAAGTAGCTGGGACTAGAGGCATGCACCACCATGTAGAGACAAGGTCCCACTATGTTGCCCAGGCTGGTTTTGAACTCCTGGGCTAGAGTTATAGGCCTGAGCCATTGCACCTAGCCTCTATCTGCATAACTGCCAACAATGAACTTTTAGACTCTATGTCTCAGTTCTCACAACTATAAATCACACTACAGTGGATATAATTAACCTAAGAATTAAATGCATAAAGCATGATGTCTAGTACATGGAAAACAGTAAATGTTAGCTTCTTCAAAATCAAAGTCTGCCTTCAGAATGGACTAAGTGCTCTCTTCAGAGCTCTTCATGAAGACAGAATCTCATTATCTGACCCTGGTTCTCTGGCATTCCCCATGTTTTCATCATACCTAAGTGAGTCAGATCCACACTATCCCCATTAATGTCCTACATCAGTGGTCCAGCTATTTTTGGTTAATAATCAATTTCTTTGAGAATCTGATAAAAAGCTCCCCTTCCACACTCTGTTGAAACCTGTCTTCTCCTCCCAAACTCCATCTCTCTCTATTCCCTTCCAATCAGGGTGGAAGCTGCTTTCCTCTCCTGGATTCTATCTTTCTGGATTCTCTCACTCAGTGTGAGAGTTAGCTGTTTCTTTCTCTTCCTCCTCCTGTTTCTCTCTCTCGCTCTCTAAATAAATCATTTTCTAACAACAACAACAACAACAAAGCTGTGGGTCCCCTCTCTCCAAAAAAGCTTAGTGGTACAAAAGATGCTTATAACTTGGGAGCTGAGGAGGATCACAAACCCTGAGGAGACCCTGAATGAAACCCAGGTACACCCCTCACTCTAGACTGTCCTTCTACCTTGATGCAGTGCCCTGGATGAGCTGCAGCTCCTCATTAGAAGGCCTCTGGGCTCCCAAACACATCTGTTTTACCTGGTTCATGGTTTTGCGTGGGCAATGGCATTGGAGGAGCAAAGGCAGACACTGTCATTGTCGTTGGAACACTCGTGGCCGTTGGAACAGTAGTGCTCATTCTAACAGTTGAAACAGTCGTGACAATTGGAGTAGTCATGACACTGGCTGGAGTGAGAAATCAACATGAGAGTGAGCGTGAGTCAACCAACAAGAAACAAGAGTCTCAGGCTGGAACTGTACCCTAGCACACCAATGACAGACTGTCCCTAAGTGGTATTATCTCCCCTGAACTCTCAATCTTGGTCATTGCCCAGCTAGAATCTGTGACAGGGAAGGGCTTTGGAGACATGCCCCTCCTTCCAAAGAAGAGCAGATGTATTGAAAGGTGTATATTCAGCAAATAAAAACACACACCTCATATTTGCATAGGAGCACTTTTTTTGGGTCAGGGTCTTACTCTGTCATCCAGGCTGGACTGCACTGGCATGATCAGCAGCAGCAGCTCACTGCTGCCTCAAACTCCCAGGCTCAAGCAATCCTCCTGTGTCAGCTTCCCAAGTAGCTGGGACTACATGCAGGCATCACCACACCTGGCTAATTAAAAACAAACAAAAAACCCACCTTTTTTTGTAGAGGCTGGGCGTGGTGGCTCATGCATGTAATCCTAGCACTTTGTGGGACCAAGGTGGGTGGATTACTTCAGCTCAGGAGTTCAGAGTTCAAGACCAGCCTAGGCAACAGGGCAAAACCCCATCTCTACAAAAAATAGCCAGGTATGGTGGCACATGCCTGCAATCCCAGCTACTCAGTAAGATGAGGCACAAGAATTGAACCCCAGAGATGGAGGTTGCAGTGAGTTGAGATGGGGCTACTCCACTCCAGCCCGAGAAATAAAAAAAAACCCCCTCACAAAAAAAAAAAAAAAAAAAAAAAAAAAAAAAAAAAAATCAACCTGATCCTGATCACCCTTATAAGGGAAACAATCCAAGTCAAAAAGCTAAGAGACTGGGGCTGTAGCCTTGTGACCAAAAAAAAAAAAAAACTAAGAGACTGCAAATTAAAGTTCCTCTTAATTAAAATGAAAATAGAGACAAAGTTTATTAAGGTCATAGGTATTGGGTTCTATTATCATTGTAAGACCTTAGTGGAAGAAGAAGATTCATTAAGAAAAAGCAACAGCCAGGTGTGGTGGTTCACGCCTGTAATTCCAGCACTTTGGGAGGCCGAGGCAGGCAGATCAGGAGTTTGAGACCAGTCTGGCCAACATGGTGACACCTTGTCTCTACTAAAACTATAAAAATTAGCCAGGCATGGTGGTGATGCCTGCAGTCCCAGCTACTTGGGAAGTCGAAGCAGGAAAATGACTTGAACCCGAGAAGCAGAGGTTGCAGTGAGTCAAGATCATACTACTGCACTCCAGTCTGGGCGACAGAATGAAACTCCATGTCAAAAAAAAAGAAAAGAAAAAGCACCAGAAATGAGGAAATCCTCAAGAACCAACTTCTTTCCTCAAATGGTAAGAAAAAATAGTATGGCCACATAAAGATGATAAAATAGAATGTTCCCAGATTTTGGATTTCATGAACTTCTTAAAAACAACTGGTGAACAGGTGTTGGAATAGAAATGGTTCCATCTAAAGTCACTTTAATTTTCAGAAAAGCAATTTTTGTGACATGATGTGAGACGTGTCTCGAAAAATCCAAGTTTGGGCCATGGGGAAGATAAAACCATAAGCTTATGCAATGTACGTGGTCAGCAAGATTGTGCTGACAGTTGTTAAAGCTGTAGATGTATCTACAAGCAGTGACTTATATTTCCTACTTTTTATGTTTGAACTCCATTATGTTAAAATGTTTTTTAAAAAAAAGGACATTTTAACATTCTTCTACAACATATCTCATTTTTTTAAAAAAAGGACGATTCCTCGGCCAGGTATAGTAGCTCACGCCTGTAATCCCAGCACTTTAGGTGGCCCAGCCTGCTGCCTGGGTAACAGAGTAAGACTCCATCTCAAAAAACAAAGACAGTTCCTTATTTTTAAATTTTTTTTTGAGATGGAATTTTGCTCTCGTCCAGGCTGGAGTGCAATGGCACGATCTTGGCTCACTGCAACCTCTGCCTCCTGGGTTCAAGCAATTTCCTGTCTCACCCTCCTGAGTAGCTGGGATTACAGGCATTCGCCATCACACACAGCTAATTTTGTATTTTTTAGTAGAGATGGGGTTTCTCCATGTGGTCAGGCTGGTCTTGAACTCCGGATCTCAGGTGATCCACCTGCCTCAGCCTCCCAAAATGCTGGGATTACAGGCATGAGCCACCCACTGTACCCGGCCAGGACAGTTCTTTAAGGTGAATAAATAAAATTCACAGTATTTTACTATGGAACAGTAAATGCTATTTCATGGACCAACTACTACGTTTGAAGTACATTTGGCCCTCCATATTTGTGGGTTCTATATCCGTAGATTCAACCAAGACTTTGGCTGGAAAATGTATGGGGAAAAAAGAAGGATATGTTGTCTGCTGTACTGAACAAGTATACACTTTTTTTTGCTTGTCATTATTCCCTAAATAACGCAGTATAACAACCAATTGCATAGTATTTACATTGTATTAGGTGTTATAAGTAATCTAGAGATGATTTAAAGCATATGGGACTATGTGCATAGTTTACATGCAATACTACACCGTTTTATATAAGGGACTTGAGCATCTGCAGGTTTTGGTATTGAAGGGGTCCTGGAACCAATTTCCCACGGATATCAGGGACAATTGTACTGCTTTAGGAGATAGTTTGCTGATTCTAGCCTGACCTTGAATTTCATCCACACAAAAGTGATTCTATTTCCCAAGAACAAGTGTTTATTTAAAAACAGGATTTATGGCTAATGCCCTTTTCGACCTTAGCCGACGTGCACCCAGGTGAATTAAAAAAATAAAATAAAAAATAAAAAAAACAGGATTTATAGGAACCTCCTGTTTCCCTATTAAGAAAAAAGAAAATACTACCAAACAGAAAATTCTATTAACCAGCAAGAAATATCAAAGAAAAACTTACGTGGTATAATCTCCAATGATATGGTGATTCTCATGTCATTGAACCATCCCCTGTTCTCAACATGGCAACAGTACAAGCCACTGTCAGACACAACTGTATTTTGTAAAGTCAAAGAGACATTCCTTTTTGAAAGGTCCCCCAATAGCTGATAGCGTGAGTTCTTCCAATAGTTGACATGGGTTCCATTTGTCCAGACAATGCTATTTGTGCACAGCCAAGTACATCCGCCTCTCTTCCAGCATGTGGATGTGACTGCTCCACAGCTGTAGCTGCAGGGTAGCGCGACAGAACGACCTGCCACTGCACCGACACTTAAGAAATTACAGTATCTGCAACGAAGAAAAGACAAACTGAGAACGAAGCCTCAGTATTTCCTCTCGGCTGGGCACCGCAGCTCATACCTGTAATCCCAGAACTTTGGGAGGCCAAGGTGGCAAGTCAACTGAGGTCAGGAGTTCAAGAGCAGCCTGGCCAACATACTGAAACCTGGTCTCTACTAAAAAATACAAAACTTAGCTGGGTGTGATGGTAGGTGCCTGTAACCCCAGCTACTTGGGATGCTGAGGCAGGGAGAATTGCATGAACCCAGGAGGTGGAGGTTGCAGTAAACCGAGATTGCGCCACTGCACTCCTGCCTGGGCTGACAGAGCAAGACTCTGTTCTCCGATGCAAAAAAAAAAAAAAAATCTTAATTTTTTTTACTTGTTTTACTTTATTTTTTGTCTTTTTTTTTTTTAATGTTTTTTGACTTTTTAAAAAAATATTCAATTTTTTTTTTTTTTGAGGCAGAGTCTCAGTCTGTCACCCAGGCTGGAATGCAGTGGCCTGATCTTGGCTCACTGCTACCTCTGCCTCCTGGGTTCAAGCAATTCTCATGCATCAGCCTCCCAAATAGCTGGGATTACAGACAAACACGACTGTGCCCAGCTAATTTTTTTCTATTTTAGTAGAGACAGGGTTTTGCCTTGTTGCCCAGGCTAGTCTCAAACTCTTGGCCTCACGAGATCTGCCTGCCTTGGCTTCTCAAAGTGCTAGGATTACAGGAGTGAGCCACTGCCGCCCTACCTTTATTTTACTTTTTAACTTATGTTTTAACTTTCTTCTTTGTATAGTTTGTTCTGTAAGTGCTAGGATTACAGGAATGAGCCACTGCCGCCCTGTTTTTATTTTACTTTTTAACGTATATTTTAATTTTTTCTTTGTATAGTTTGTTCTATAAGTTGACTTCATTTCATTTTATTATTTATTTATTTTGAGACGGAGTCTCACTCTGTTGCCCAGGCTGAAGTGCAATGGCACAATCTTGGCTCACTCGAACCTCTGTCTCCCAGATTCAAGCGATTCCCATGCCTCAGCCTCCCAAGTAGCTGGGAGGCTAATTTTTGTATTTTTAGTAGAGACGGTTTCAATATATGGCTCACGCCTGTTATCCCAGCCCTTTGAGAGGCTGAGGTGGTTGATTCATGAGGTCAGGAGTTTAAGACCAGCCTAGCCAAGATAGTGAAAATATAAAAAAATTAGCCACGCATGGTGGTGGGAGCCTGTAATCCCAGCTACTAGGGAGACTGAGGCAGAGAATTGAATGAACCCAGGAAGTGGAGGTTGCAGTGAACCTAGATTGGGCCACTGCACTCCAGCCTGGGCAACAAAATGAGACTGTCTCAAAAAGAGCTCGGCACAGTGGCTCACGCCTGTAATCCAAGCACTTTGGAGGCCAAGGCGGGTGGATCACCTGAGGTTGGGAGTTCAAGACCAGCCTGACCAACATGGTAAAACCCGGTTTTAAAAAAGAAAAAAAAAATTAATAAAAAAAAGAAAGATTGTCCAATTGCACTCCAGACAGAGTGAGACCTCATCAAGAAAGAGAGAAAGAGTCCGGGCACAGTGGCTCACACCTGTAATCCCAGCACTTTGGAAGGCTGAGGAGGGCAGATCATGAGGTCAGAAGATCCAGACCATCTTGACCAACATGTTGAAACCCCTGTCTCTACTAAAAATACAAAAATTAGCTGGGCATGGTGGCATGTGCCTATAATCCCAGGTACTCAGGAGGCTGAGGCAGGAGAATTGCTTGAACCAGGGAGTTAGAGGTTGCAGTGAGCCAAGATTGTGCCACTGCACTCCAGCTTGGAGACAGAGTGAGACTCCATCTTTATTAAAAAAAAAAAAAAAAAGGGAGAGAAAGAGAGGAAGGAAGGGAGGAGAGGAAGAGAGGAAGAGAGAGAGAGGGAGGGAGGGTGGAAGGAAAGAGAAAGGAAGAAAGAGGGAAAGAAAGAAAGAGAGGAAGAATTGAATGTCGTTGAAAAAAAATCAAAAGGCACAAAAGCATACAAGGAGGGTTAACTCTCCCTCCACCTCCCATCCTCCACCGCATCTCACAGTACCCAGTTACCATTACCTATGTACATGTGTTTATGTATATACATCTAGCCATTCCTTTTTTATTTAAACACAAATGGCCACATGTGACACACTGTGCTGCATCTTGCCTTGTTCATTTAGCCATGAATGTTGTAATCCATAGCAGTTAAGCAATTTCTTTGGCATAAAACTTTATTCTGGTCCTGCTCACTGGTTAACTCATAGCCATCCAATGGTGCCCAAAGAACATCTACATTCAGCCACCACCACCGTCCCCTCCCCTTCCCCTACCTCATCCTCTTGGCTTCTAACCCCCCTTTACTCCCTTCTTCCCGCTGAGGGCGTGTACTCACTTACCTGCTAGAAGTAGCATGAGGCTTAAGACGACCACCTGAGGATGCATTATGGGGTTGACCTGAAGGAAAATGAGCAGACAGACTGGTTGGTACCCCCCACCAGATGGTATCCGATTAAGTCTTAATTCTCAGATTGCGACTTCTCTTTTCACCCAACTGGATGATTTATATGAGCCTGCTCTGCTGGGAATGAGACAAGACCACACACAAAACGGCTTCAGAGCTCTGTTTGTTAGTTTTCTGTGGCTGAGAGCTCTGTGCCTTCCAAAGGACAGGGAAAGCTGTCTGCAGAAACAGCCCCTGATTTCCCAGCTTCTTCCCCTCTTAGAGCCTCCAAACCGACTCCTGATTCTGATACAGGAAATTGGGGAACAAAAAGGAAACTGGAAGCAGAGAACCAGTGTGGCTCAATGGCAGCACGAGAGCTAAGGCCAGCCTTCCAGTGGCAGAGATGCACTTGCTTTTCTGAGTAAACTGGGCCTCTGATAGATGCGGGGCTCTTCCTGCTCAGTCGCCACAACTCATCCCTAGTCTTAACAGTCACATTACCAAGTTTGCCATTAGCAAGAGGAATTGAGAGTGAATGTGAGTCACTGCACCTAACCTTTCATCCTCCGGACATTTCAGACTGCACCTTACCAAGGGATTTCAAGACAATGCTTCAGAAAACTGGAGCAAGCACGTTCAGATCCAAGCTCTCTCACTCACAATGCTGGGTGACCCTGACAGTTCCTGAACCTCTTCAAACCCCTATTTCCTCAGTTGTAAAATATCACTAAAAATACTTCCTCTATCTCCCACCGGGGATTGGTATAATAAGCAAAAACAACCATGGACGAACTTAGAAAACTAAACCTACATAGGCACTAATAGCACTAGCTAAGGATTTTGGAGACGTTATTACAGTATACAGCAGGCTCTATGTCAAGGACCCACATGCATTAAATCTGGCTGTTGAATTCTGCTCTTAATCATTAAACCATACAAACATGAGTAAGCTTGCCTAGTACTTCATTAACTCCTCTTCTGGTCTAAGAATTCAGCAACTTCCAAGGAGGCAGTGGTGCTCTGTATCTTGCAGCTTATGACAGGCTTTGTGGGAAAGTGGATAGTCTTGGCATACTGTGGCTGTGGGTCTCAGACTACCAAGGAGTGGGAACCCCTGACTCCGGCAGCCTCTGTACTCTGACATGATATCTGATGCTACTAACTGGTGACCCAGATGAAATTTGGCCTGCAAGTGTTTTGTATGGCAGCATTTAAAAATGCATTTCTTGGCTAGGCGCACTGGCTCGCGCCTGTAACCCCAGCACTTTGGGAGGCCGAGGCAGGTGGATCACCTGAGGCCAGGAGTTCAAGACCAGCCTGGCCAACATGGCAAAACCCTGTCTCTACTAAAAATATAAAAATTAGCTGGGCATGGTAGTAGTTGCCTATAATCCCAGCTCCTTGAGATGCTGAGGCAGAAGAATCGCTTGGACCTGGGAGGCAGAGGTTGCAGTGAGCAGAGATCACGCCACTGCACTCCAGCCTGGGAAGAATAAAACCTCATTTCAAAAAAATAAAAATAAAAATGAAAATTCATTTCTTGCTGGGCGCAGTGGCCCATGCCTGTAATCCCAACACTGGGAGGCCAAGGCGAGTGGATCACCTGAGGTCAGGAGTTTGACACCAGCCTGGGCAAAACATAGCAAGACTCTCTCTCTTCAAAAACCAAGAAGATTAGCCAGGCCTGGTGGTACATGCCTGTAGTCCCAGCTACTCAGGAGGCTGAGGCAGGAAGATTGCTTCACCCCAGAAGTTGGAGGCTATGATCATGCCACTGCACGCTAGCCTGGGTGACGGAGCAAGACCCTGTTTCTTAAGGGAAAAGAAAAAGATTTTTTTTAAATTTGATGTAATCCAAGTCTACCACTTATTACTAATACATTGAGTGAATGGGACATGAGTCAATGTACTAAGGATATGAAAAATTCGGAATTGTGCAATCGGGCAGGGACATGGGTAAGTAACTAATGAAATCAGAACGAGGTAAATATATAATCAGACCACGTCATTCCCCACTTATAACCCTCTCATGCCGCTCTCAGAAAAAAAAAAAAATCCTAAATCTTTACTCAAATTACTGAAGCCCTGGTGATCTGGCTCTGACCTGCCCCACAGACTTCTTCCACCACTCTCCCCTGATCACTCGGCCCCAGCCACGAGAGCTTTCTTTCCAACCTGCCTCAACCCAACGGCCTTTTTCCTGGCTGTGTTCTCCGTCTAGCTTCCCCCATCCCACTATTTTCACTTTTTTCCTTTTCATTTTTATCCCGGCTTAAATGTTACCTGCCTGAACATTTCACTGGCCCCTCAATCTAAAGTAGCCAAGCAGTCCCTCTCGATATTATTACCTTATTTCCCTTAATCCATTTTATCTGTGTGTGTAACACACGTGGTGTCTGTCTCTATTCCCTCCTATAGAGTGCTGTCCACTAGAATTTTGGTAACAGAGTTATTCTGTGTGAGTGCTGTTCACTACAGTAGCCACTAGTCACATAGGACTATTGAGCACTCTAAATGTGGCAAGTACAGCTAAGGCAATTTTTTTTGTTTTGTTCTGAGACAGAGTGTCACTCTGTCACCCAAGCTGGAGTATAGTGGCACAGCCTTGGCTCACTGCAACCTCCATCTCCTGGGTTAAAGTTATTCTCTTACCCCAGCCTCCTGAGTAGCTGGGACTACAGACGTGTGCCACCACGCCTGGCTGATTTTTGTATTTTAGCAAAGACAAGGTTTCACCATGTTGTCTAGGCTGGGCCCAAACTCCTGGCCTCAAATGATCTGCCCACCTTAACCTCCTAAAGGGCTGGGATTACAGGTGTGAGCCTCCATGCATGGCCTAAAATTTTTTATTTAATTTTATTTTAATTAAAATTTTGGATTGCTTGAGCCCAGGAGACACAGAGTCTTCAGGGAGTTGAGATGGCACCGCTGCACTCAAGCCTTGGATTACAGAGCTTCCAAATAAATAAATAAAATTTAGGCCAGGTGCAGTGGCTCATGCCTGGAATCCCAGCACTTTGGGAGGCTGAGGCAGGTGGATCACCTGAGGTTAGGAGTTCAAGACCAGCCTGACCAACATGGAGAAACCCCATCTCTACTAAAAATACAAAATTAACCGGGTGTGGTGGTGCATGCCTCTAATCCCAGCTACTTGGGAGGCCGAGGCAAGAGAATGGCTTGAACCCGGTAGCTGGAGGTTGTAGTGAGCCAAGATTGCACCATTGTGCTCCAGCCTAGACAACAAGAGTGAAATTCCATCTCAAAAAATAATAATAAAATTTAAATTGCCACACATAGTGACTATGTTGCATAGCACCCAACTCCAGACCATAAACTCCTTGTAGGCAATTTAAGTATTAATTGAGACCAGGCACAGTGGCTCACACCTGTAATCCTCCCAAAGGAGGCTGAGGTGGGAGGATCACTGGAGGTTAGAAGTTCCAGACCAGCCAAGGCAACATGGTGAAACCCTGTCTCTACTAAAAATGCAAAAATTAGCCAGCCATGGTGACGGGTGCCTGTAATCCCAGCTGCTTGGGAAGCTGAGGCGGGAGAAACGCCTGAACCCAAGAGGCAGAGGTTGCAGTGAGCAGAGATCACTCCACTGTACTCCAGCCTCAGCCACAGAGTGAAATTTAGTCTTAAAAAAAAAAAAAAAAAAGGCCGGGCACGGTGGCTCAAGCCTGTAATCCCAGCACTTCGGGAGGCCGAGGCGGGTGGATCACAAGGTCAAGAGATCGAGACCATCCTGGTCAACGTGGTGAAACCCCGTCTCTACTAAAAATACAAAACATTAGCTGGGCATGGTGGCACATGCCTGTAATCCCAGCTACTCCGGAGGTTGAGGCAGGAGAATTGCCTGAACCCAGGAGGCGGAGGTTGCGGTGAGCCGAGATCGCACCATTGCACTCCAGCCTGGGTAACAAGAGTGAAACTCCGTCTCAAAAATAAATAAAAATTAAAAAAAATAATAAAAGTATTAATTGAGGCTGGGGGCGGTGGCTCATGCCTGTAATCCCAGCACTTTGGGAGGCCGAGGTGGGTGGATCACAAGGTCAAGAGATCAAGACCATCCTGGCCAACATGGTGAAACCCTGTCTCTACTAAAAATATAAAAATTAGCTGGGCGTGGTGGCGTGCGCCTGTAGTCCCAGCTACTTGGGAGGCTGAGGCAGGAGAATTGCTTGAACCTGGGAGGTGGAGGTTGCAGTGAGCTGAGATCGCGCCACTACACTCCAGCCTGGTGCCTGGCAACAGAGCGAGACTCTGTCTCCAAAAAAAAAAAAAAAAAAAAAAAAAAAAAAAAAAAAAGATTAATTGAATAGATAAACAAATGGAAACACAAACCCATAGGGAAAGACCATTCATTTTGATGACAGGGTGTTGGGGGTGGGAAGAATTTCTAAAAAAGTGACATTTGAGAAGAATGGGTGGAAAGTGTTTCAAGTGGAGGAAATCATGAGCCAGAGAGAGCCAAGACAGGGACGTGGAGCCAAGGCTCTGAGATGCTACGTAACTGTAATCGCATAGGATTGAAAGTTCTGACATGAGACTATCTCCCATGAGAGATGCCTGTGTCCTAAAGACTCCCAGATAATATAGCACAGTGGACTCTTTATGAGCTATACAACCTCCATGAATCATACTCTTTAGGGCCAACTTCATGACCCCCTGAAGTATGCATCCCAGTTGCGGGGTATCCTTCGGGTGGGGCTGGAGGTGACAATACTTGGGCACCAAAGCTGAATTTCCAGTCACTCACTAGAGAACTGCATCGGTGTAAAGCAAAATTAACAGCAGTGAATTGAAATGATTCAGAACCTGGGCCAGGCACGTGGCTCACACCCTTAATCCCAGCTACTCAGGAGGCTGAGGCAGGAGAATCACTTGAACCCAAGAGGCAGCGGTTATAGCAAACCGAGATCGCACCACTGTACTCCAGCCTGGGAGACAGAGTGAGACCCTGTCTCAAATAAATAAATAAGAAAATAAAATCGTTCATTGTTCTTTCCTGCAACCCCCACTTACTTCCCTGCTGTCTCAGCACACATCTTATCTCCAGCTCCAGCCTCCCACAAAACAGTTCAGCTGCTCATATTCCCCATGCTCTCACCACAGCAAGGCCCCCTCCACAAGTAGGGACTCAGCAACTCCATGTCATTGTACCTGTCAATCTCTCCCTCATCTCCATCACTTTATGTTAGGCCTCTATAACCCAGACTGCTGCCATTCCCTCCAAAACTGTCTTCCTACCTTCCACGTCTCTTCCTGCCCTGTCCACTGCCCTAAGCTAGTTATTTTCCTTCACTTACTCCTCTGATTTCATAACAAGTAATATGTTTGTTTTTTTATATCTTTTTAAAGATTATACAAGTTACAAGGTACCTATGTTGATCATAGAAAATATATAAAAGGCCAGGCATGGTGGCTCACTCCTGTAATCCCAGCACTTTGGGAGGCTGAGGCAGGAGGATCACTTGAGGTCAGGAGTTCAAGACCAGCCCGGCCAACATGGCAAAACCCTGTCTCTACTAAAACTACAAAAATTAGCTGGGCGTGGTAGCACGTGCTTACAAGCCCATCTACTAGGGAGGCTGAGGCAAAAGAATCGCTTGAACGTGGCAAGTAGAGGTTGTAGTGAGCTGAGATCACACTCCTGCACTCCAGCCTGGGTGACAAAGTGAGACTGTGCCTCAAAAAAAAAAAAAAAAGAAAATATTTTAAAATACCAAAAGTGTACTCGTTTAACAATTATTTGTTGACGATCTGCAATATGTTAGAAACGATCTATTCATTTGGAATGTACTAATGAACCAAAGACCCCTGGCCTCATGTAGCTTACTTTTTTTTTTTTTTTGAGATGGAGTTTTGAGCTTGTTGCCCAGGCTGGAGTGCAATGGCAAGATCTTGGCTCATCGCAACCTCCATCTTCTGGGTTCAAGTGATTCTCCTGCCTCAGCCTCCCAAGTAGCTGTGATTATGGCCGCCTGCCACCACACCCGGCTAATTTTTGTAGTTTTAGTAAAGACGGGGTTTCACCATGTTGGTCAGGCTGCTCACAAATTCCTAATCTCAAATGCCCACGTTGGCCTCCCAAAGTGCTGGGATTATAGGCGTGAGCCACCATGCCTGGCCTCACATAACTTACATTTAACTGAAAGATAAATATACAGATTTTTAAAACATCACAAAAATGTAATTTATCAGCATATTACAAGATGATGAACGCTAATGCAAAAAAGGGCACAGAGCAGGGTGAAGGTTGTTGGGAAGGGTTGAGGAGGTGCTGAGTTGCAATTTTAAATCAGGTGGTCAGGTTTGGATAGTGCCTACTACTTTTACCAAGAAGGTGATTATTTGAGCTAAGACAAAGAACAAAGGAGTTAGCCAAGACAGGAAAAGCTTTCCATGGAGACAGACACGAAGGGCAAAGGCCTTTAAGGCAGGAGGCTGCCTGTTGTATTCAGAGAGCAGGAGAGGCCAGCATGACTGGAACAGAGCGAGGGACAGGGAGCACAGAGGAGTGAGGGCAGAGGACAGACCTGGCGCTTAGGAACCATTTTTTGAGGATATAGGCTTTCACCCCACATGGAAAGCAGCACCACTGAAGGGGCATAGGGTAATGGGACATAACTTCCTTTGAGAAGGACCACTGTGGCTACTAGACTGAGAAGCAGGGAGACCTGTCAGGAGACTATGGCAAGGTTCCAGAAGAGATGGGTTAGCTGTGGAAGTGGTCAATGAACTTTCTTCACTCAAGCTAGAGTAGCCAGATAGAAATGGTTCACAGCTGTAATCCCAGGACTTCGAGAGGCCAAGGCAGGAGGATTGCTTGAGCCCAGGGGCTCAGACCAGCTTGGGCAGCATAAGCAGACCCTGTCTCTATTACAAAATATATTAGCCAGGCGTGGTGGCATGCAACTTGTAGTAGTGGCCCCAGCTACTCAGGAGGCTGAGGCAGGAGGATGGCTTGAGCCACAGACGTGGAGAAGTTAGAGCAAATAGGATTTCCCATAGGGTATGAAGAGAAAGGGCCTAAGATGACCCAAAGGATTTCAGCCTGAGCTACTGGAAGAGCTGGAGGTGCCAACCAATTGAGACAGAGAAAGCTGCAAAGGCTGGGTGCAGTGGCTCACAGCTCTAATCCTAACACTTAGGGAGGCCAAGACCCTCTCACCTGAGGTCAGAAGTTCAAGACCAACCTGGCCAACATGGCAAAACCCCGTCTCTACTAAAAATACAAAAAATTAGCTGGGCATGGTGGTCGGTGACTATAAACCCAGCTACTCAGGAGGCTGAGGCAGGAGAATTACTTGAACCCAGGAGGCAGAGGTTGCAGTGAGTTGAGATCGTGCCACCACACTCCAGACTGGGCAACGAAGCAAGACTCCCTCTCGAAAAAAAAAAAAAAAGAAAGAAGAAAGCTGCATGACCACAGATTTTGGAGGAAATATTCTGGGTTTTAAGTATGTTGAGTTTGACATGTCTTAGACCCAAGTGGAGACTGCTGGAGTTCAGGAGAGAGATCTGGGTTAAGATACACAGTTACAAGTTATTTGCTTAGAAATGGCTTAGGAATTCAAAGGATGAGATTCAAAGGAATGTCTGATGCTAAGGACTAGGTCCTAGGACCTTCCAGCAATAAAAGGTTAAAGTAAGGCCAGGCATGTTGAATCATACCTGTAATCCCAACACTTTGGGAGGCCAGGGCAGGCTCGTCACTTAAGGTCAGGAATTCCAGCCCAGCCTGGCCAACATGGTGAAACACCATCTCTACATAAAAATAAATTTTAAGGCTGGGCGTGGTGGCTCACGCCTGCAATCTTAGCACTTTGGGAGGCCAGGGTGGGCTGATCACTTGAGGTCAGGAGTTTCAGGCCAGCCTGGCCAACACAGTGAAACCCCGTCTCTACTAAAAATACAAAAATTAGCTGGGTGTGGTGGCGTGTGCCTGTAGTCCCAGCTACTCCAGAGGCTGAGGCAGGAGAATTGCTTGAAACTGGGAGGCAGAGGTTGCAGTGAGCTGATATCGCATCACTGCACTCCAGCCTGGGTGACAGAACAAGACTCTATCTCAAAAAAAATAATTAATTTTTAAAAATTATTTAAGGTTCAGTTGGAAGAGGCACCAACATAGAAATGGAAGAAGCCCAAGGAAGTAGAGAAAAAGCAAAAGGGTACTGGAAGCCAAGTGAAGCAAACGCATCCAAGAACAGGCAGCAATCACGAGTCAAATGCTGCACAGGGAAGGGATGAGATTTGTCATAGACTGAGCAAGCTGGAGATCATCAGTGATCCCAGTATTTTATACTGCAGTAAAAAGTTTACAGGAGTCGGGTGCCGTGGCACGTGTCTGTAGTCCCAGCTACACGGGAGGCTGAGGTGGGAGGATCGCTTGAGCCCAGGAGTTCTGGGCTGTAGTGTGTTATGCTGGGTGTCCGCACTAAGTTTGGCATCAATATGGTGACCTCCCGGGATCAGGGGACCACCAGGTTGCCTAAGAAGGGGTGAACCGGCCCAGGTCAGAAACAGAGCAGGTCAAAACTCCAGTGCTGATCATTAGTGGGATCACACCTATGAATAGCCACTGCACTCCAGCCTGGGCAATGTAGCAAGACTCCATCTTTTTAAAAAAAAAAAAAAGTTAAAAAGTTCACAAGGAATAAAATTAGAAGATAATTGAAAACAGGAAATACTTTCAAGGCGTTTGCATTTAAAAAAAATTAGTTGGGCACGAATGCCTGTAGTCCCAGCAATTTGGGAGGTGGAGGAATCACTTGAGCCCAAGAGTTTGAGGCTGCAGTGAGATATGGTAGCACTACTACACTTCAGCCTGGGTGACACAGTGAGTCCCTGTCTCAAAAAAAAAAAAAAAAAAACTTTTGTAAAAATGGGAGGAGAAAATCCCGGGTATTTAAGTGGTAAAAATAACAGCATGTTTGTATGATCTGGAGACAATCAAGAGGAAGAAAGGGAGAATTTGCTGGGGCAACAGGTCAACAGAGAAGTGTGATCTATTGCCCAATTAGAAGATTCCAATTCGCAACCAGGGATATCTTATTGGTGCACACGCTAAGCGAGCACATATGTCTGGGGAAGCTCCAGGTTGATTGCTTCCTCAGTGAAGTAGGAAACAGTTGAAAGTTAGCAGTAAGGATGGGGAAGAGGTTTGAGGAATTTGAAGAGAGCTTTAGGAGAGCAAATGAAGTAGGGACAAATGTTCCACCATCTGGCAGCACTCACGTATCACTGGAAGTAGGAGGTCACGAGGCTGACGCTCTGCGGCTACCTGCAGCTGCAGACTATGAGGGACGAAGAAGACCCACATCAGCAGATAACTTCATTATATTCCCAGATATTTCTCTAAACATCCCTCCCACTTTAGAGGTATTTAATGGCTTGCCAGTGCCTTCAAGGCAAAGTCCAAACTCTTAAAGCTGCCCACCTTCCCAGGCTGGTCACACTCTATCATTCTAAGCCTCACAAAGTTCCAAACAAACCGAATCGCTTATACTCATTAATCTTTGCAAGCTCGATAATTTCAAACACATGAGACTACTACAAACCTTCAAAAATCAGCAGCCCACCCTGGGCTGAGTGAGTCCCCATCTCTACAAAAAAAAAAAAATTAAAAAATTAGTGGTGAGGCGGGGGCATGGTGGCTCATGCCTATAATCCAAGCACTTTGGAAGCGGAGGTGGGCAGATCACCTGAGGTCGGGAGTTAAAGACCAGCCTGACCAACATGGTGAAACCCCGTCTTTAAAAAAAAAAAAAAAAAAAAAAATTAGTGGTGAGTGGTTGCACAAGTGTGTGGTCCCAACTATTTGGAAGGCTAAGGTTGGAGGACCAATTGAGCCCGGGTCAAGGCTGCAGGGAGCCATGATTGCACCACTGCATTCCAGCCTGGGCGACAGAGCAAGAGCCTTTCTTTCTTTTTTTGAGATGAAGTTTTGCTTTTGTTGCTCAATCTGGAGTGCAATGGTGCCATCTCGGCTCACTGCAACCTTCACCTCCTGGGCTCAAGCGATTCTCCTGCCTCAGCCTCCTGAGTAGCTGGGATTACAGGCAGGTGCCACCAAGTCCAGCTAATTTTTTGTATTTTTAATAGAGACGGGGTTTCACCGTGTTAGCCAGGATGGTCACAATCACCCGACCTCAGGTGATCCACCCACGTAGGACTCCCAAAGTTCTGGAATTACAGGTGTGAGTCAGCGCACCTGTAGAGTAAAACGCTTTCTCAAAACAAACAAAACAGCCAGGGGTGGTGGCTCACGCCTCTAATCCCAGCACTTTTGGAGGTTGAGGCAGACAGATCATTGATATCAGGAGTTCCAGACCAGCCTGCCCAACATGGCGAAACCCTGTCTCTACTAAAAATACAAAAAATTAGCCAAATATGGTAGCAAGCTCCTGTAGTCCCAGCTACTCAGGAGGCTGAGGCAGGAGAATCAGTTAAACCCAGGAAGCGGAGATTGTGGCTCATGCCTATGTCCAGGCCCTTAGGAGGCCAAGGCAGGTGATCACTTGAGTCCAGAAGTTCAAGACCAGCCTGGGCAACATAGTGAAACCATATCTCTACAAAAACGTTTTAAAAATTAGACAGGCGTGGTGATGCACACCTGTAGTTCCAGCTACTCAGGAGGCTGGGGTGGGAGGATCTCTTGAGCCCAGAAGTTTAAGGTTACAGTGAGCTATGATCAAGCTGCTGCACTCCAGCCTGTGTGACAGAGCAAGACTGTCACAAAAGTCAGCAGCCAACGCTAGGCTTTTGATTTACTGAACATTATATGAGTTTTTTTAAATAATGTTTTTCGAGACAAAGTTTTTTGGCTCACTTTATCCTCTGCCTCCCAAGCTCAATCCATCCTCCTGCCTCAGCCTCTCCAGTAACTAGGACTGCAAGCATGTGCCACCACACTCTGCTAATGGTTTCTATTGTTTTGCAGATGGGCTCTGACTATGTTGCCTAGGCTGGTCTCAGCTTCCTGGGCTCAAGCAATCCCCCTGCCTTGGCCTTCCAAAGCGTTGATTACAGGCATGAGCCACCACTCCCAGCTACAAATATTTTTACTTTACAAATAATAAAACTACGAACAGAGTTATGCCCTCAACACATTTCCACATTATTATATAATACCCATTTAACAGATCAGGAGAAGCTCAGCAAAAGTATGTGTTGAGCTGAAAGTCACAGTTTCAAGCCAGCCTGAATAAATACAGCTCAACAGAAAGGTACCACACAATTTTCTGCAGTTTTATTTCTTCCTCCTATTTCTCACACTAAACTTGCCCAGGTAAAGTAAATAAGGCCACTATGGAAGTCCATGATTCCATTTAAATAAAAGTCAATTTCTCAGGCAATCCAAAAAACTCTGTTTTATGTAAATTTCCCCTAAATTTCTTGGCTCAATCATTATTGTCCTTATATCTCATATAAAACTACAAAAGTCCAAGCAGCTATATCCTGGTTTTCTCTTTGTCGTAAGTTTCCAGAGGACTGCACTTACCAGTTAGTTAGGAGGCTGTTTTCCAGTTTCTCTTCCTTCCTCCCGGTCTGTCTGTAGCTCTCCTCCAAAGAGCTTTGTAGATAAAGACAACTTTCTCCCAGAATTCCATTCTTTATCTCTTTGCCACACCCTTACATAAGAATAATGGGAAGCACGTTTGAACATTACATTTCTCCAGTAGGCCGATCTTTTTGCTAGATTTGATCCACTTACAAATTTAAACAGATTACAGGAGATTATTAGTAGGCTGGAATAGTACTTGTTCTCTGCTGGGCTTTTTTTTTTTTTTTTTTTTTTCTTTCTTTTTTCAGACGGAGTCTTGCTCTGTCGCCCAGATCGGAATGCAGTGGCGCAATCTCATCTCATTGCAACCTCTGCCTCCCGGGTTCAAGCAATTCTCTGTCCTCAGCCTCTCGAGTAGCTGGGACTACAGGCACTTGCTACCAGGCCTGGCTAATTGTCGTATTTTTACTAGAGTCAGGTTTTCGCAATGTTGGCAAGGCTGGTCTCTAACTCCTGAACTCCGGTTATCCACCCACCTTAATCTGCCAAAGTGCTGGGATTACAGGCGGGAGCCACGGCGCTCTGCTGGGCTATTTTTAAAGATTCAGTCAAGATCTGGATGTTAGGTCAGACTCCAGGCTTGAAAATTTTTCTTTTATTTGAGCTGGAGTCTCTCTGTTGCCCAGGCTGGAGTGCAGTGGTCCAATCTTGGCCCACTGCAACCTCTGCCTCCTGGGTTCAAGCAATTCTCTGCCTCAGCCTCCTGAGTAGCTGGGATTACAGGTGCCACTACATCCAGCTAATTTTTGTATTTTTAGTAGAGACGGGGTTTCACCACGTTGCCCAGGCCAGTCTCTAACTCCTAACCTCAGGTGATTCTCCCACCTCAGACTCCCAAAGTGCTGGAATTACAGGTGTGAGCCATTGTGCCCAGCCAGTAGTTTAGTATTTTAGACTCTACTAAAAAATAGAAAAAAAAATAGCCAGGCATTGTGACACATGCCTGTAATCTTAGTTACTATGGAGGATGAGGCACAAGAATTGTTTGAACCCAGGAGGCAGAGGTTGCAATGAGCCAAGATTGCATCACTGCGCTACAGCCTTGGTGACAGCGTGAGACTGTGTTTAAAAATGAAAAGAAAAGAAATATTTCCAAGAATTATTAAATTAGGCCAGCCATGGTGGCATGTGTCTCTAGTCCCAGATACTGGAGATGCTGAAGCAGGAAGATCGCTTGAGCCTAAGAGGTCAAGACTGCAATGAACCATGATTGCACCACTGTACTCCAGCCTGGATGACGGAGGGAGACCCTCTCTCAAAAAAATACAAAAACAAACAAGAAATATTAGATCAAAAAAACAACATGGTGGCTCACGCCTATAATCTCAGCACTTTAGGAGGCTGAGGTGGGAAGATCACTGGACCAGGAGTTCGAGACCAACCTGGGCATGTGAGACCTTGCATCTATGAAAAATAAAAGTTAGCGGGGTATGGTGGCATGTGCCTGTAGTCCCAGCTACTTGGGAGGCTGAGGTGAGAGGAAAACACAATTTAAACCACACACACAACAACCACCACCTATTTTATAGGAATCTAGTTTTGCAAAAACACTGCAACAAAATGACAGCATATGTTGGTATGTATGCACATGTGCCTATATGGAAAAGTTACAGGAAAGAACCTAGGAAACTAGTCAGGTCAGAGTATCGTATCTGGTAGGGAAGCAGGCTGAGACAAGAGGGACTTTCAGTTTGAGGCTAGATATTTATGTATCATTTGACTATTTTACAAGAATGTGCCAATATGCTGTTAATATAATGCATGCAAAGTGTTTTAACAACAACAAAAAAACGCAAATCACAATCCCAAAACTGTACATTCTTGCAAAAGTAAAGTCCTTTATTTTGGTGGAGGGGGGACAGGGTATTACTCTGTTCCCCAGGCTGGGGTGCAGTGTCACAAGCACAGCTCACTGCAGTCTCAACCTCCTGGGCTCAAGCAATTCTCCCACCTCAGTCTCCTGAGTAGCTGGAACTACAGGAACATGCCACCAGCCACCACACCCTGCTAAATTTTTTTTTTTATTTTGTAGAGACAAGGTCCCACTATGTTGCCCAAGCTGTTCTAGAACTCCTGGGCTCAGGCAATCCTCCTGCCTTGGCCTCCCAAAGTGCTGGAATTACAGGTGTGAGCTACCACACCCAGTCATGAGTGCAAGTTCTTTTACATTTACATAATATACTTCATTTTTCATAGCCTAATTACCATCATCCTTTTCTTTAACCAGGAAAGACAGAGAGAAAAGACAGCAACTTAAGTTGCCAAAAGCTAAACTAGGACATCAGCAAGCATCTAGAAAGACAGAAGATTATAAAATAATGCTTTTGTTTGTTTGTTTGTTTTTGTTTGTTTGTTTTGAGACAGAGTTTCACTCTTGTTGCCCAGGTTGGAGTGCAATGGCACGATCTCGGCCCACCACAAGCTCCACCTCCCAGGCTCAAGCGATTCTCCTGCCTCGGCCTCCCGAGTAGCTGGGATTACAGGCATGCCCCACCACACCCATATAATTTTTGTATTTTTAGTAGAGATAGGGTTTCTCCATGTTTGTCAGGCTTGTTTCAAACTCCTGACCTCAGGTGATCTGCCCACCTCGGCCTCCCAAAGTACTGGGATTACAGGCATGAGCCACCGCACCTGGCCAAAATAATGCTTTCATAAACATAAAAGCACTACACCACAAAGCGCATGTTCTTCTACAAAGTAGAAAATACATCGGGTCACTATAGTTGACCCTTGAACAACATGGCTTTGAACTGCAAGGGTCCACTTGTTTGCAGATTATTTTCAATTAAAAGTTATACCGAGCGTGCCTGCCTTTCCTTCCTCACCTTCCATCTCTACTTCTGCCACCTCTACCACCCCTGGGACAGCAAGACCAACCCCTCTTCCTCCTCCTCCTCCTTCACAATGAGCTTACTCAATGTAAAGATGATGAGGACAATCTTTATGATAAGTGGTAAATATATTTTGTCTTCCATAGGATTTCTTAGTTCCATTTTCTTTTCTCTAGCTTACTTTAAGAATATAGCATATAATATATATAATATACAAAACCATATATATTATATGACTTATAGACTGTTTACATTATCAGTAAGGCTTCCTGCCAACAGTAGGCTATTGGCAAATTTTTTGGAGAGTTATATACAGTCCAAGCAAGGTGGTTCATGCCTATAGTCCCAGCACTTTGGGAGGCCAAGGCAGGAGGATCACTTGAGCCTAGGTGTTTAAGACCAGCCTCGGCAAAAAGCCAAAACCCCTTCTCTACAAAAAATACAAAAATTAGGCAGGCACGGTGGCACACACCTATAGTTCCAGATTCTAAAGAGGCTGAGGTGGGAAAATTGCTTGAGCCTGGGGAAGTCAAGTCTCCAGTAAGCAGTGATCATGCCATTGCACTTTAGCCTGAGCAACAGAATGAGACTGTCTCAAAAATTAAAAAAAAAAAAAAAAATAGAAAAGTTATATGCTTATTTTCAACTGCACAGGGGATCAGTGTCCCTAGCCCCCATATTGTTCAAGAGTCAACTCTGTATATTTATTTGAGGGACTGCTGTTACAATCGACATCACCTGTGTCACTTTATGCATTCACCCATTTATATTTACTGAGCACTTGCTATGTGCCAGGCAACCTTAATTCTATGAGACTCATTTCAAGTTTTACAGAGTTAAGCAAATGCTAAAGCTAAGAATTTGTATTTTCAGAAATTTTTATTTAATGACATCACAAAAAACCCTTTTCTGTATCATTCAGAATCTAGCGTGTGGGTCTGCGGTATGCTTATTGCCTTTTATTACAACCATCTGCTTGAATATCAGGCTGCCTTGCTGTATTCTGACTTCCTTGAAGAAAAAACATAAACCTTTTTGTGGTGCCCGTGTCACAGCTTGTGTCTGCAATACAGCAGGCATAAGTTTATTCATCCAGTCTACAAATACTTATTTCATACCCACTGTAAGCCAAGCAATGTACTAGGCCCCTGGGATAAGGCATGAATGATAGAGTTTACTTTCTAGTTGAGGGTTGGGGTAGATAGATCACACACATAGAAAAATGCAAGCAAGAGAATTTCAGATTGGAACAAACTATGCAGGAAATAAACTGAATTAGAGATGGGAAGATCGTTACTTGGATAGGGTGGTTGGGGGAACGCTCTTAGATGAGATTTAAGCTGGGTGCAGTGGCTCATGCCTGTAATCCCGGCACTTTGGGAGGCTGAAGCAGGCAGATCACTTGAGGCAAGGAGTTTGAGACCAACCTGGGCAACATGGTGAAACCCTCTCTCTATTAAAAATACAAAAAAAATTAGCCGGGTGTGGTGGTAGGCGCCTGTAGTCCCAGCTACTCGGGAGGCTGAGGCAGAGAATCACTTGAACCCAAGAGGCAGAGGTTGCAGTGAGCTGAGACCGCGCCACTATACTCCAGCCTGGAACAGAGCAAGACTTAGTCTCAAAAATAAATAAGTATAATTAAAAACTAAAAAAAAAAAAAAAAAAAAAAAAAAGAAATTTAAACTGGAAACCAAAAGATGAGAAAGAGGAAGCTGTCTACAAACAGTCTGAGAGAAGTATTCCGAAGAGAGGAAATGGGCATCGAAAAGGGGCTGGAATCAGGAAGAAGTTGGGCTGTTCTAGAAATAGAAACATCAGCGTGGCTGAAACACAGAGTATAAGGAGACGTTGGTGAGGTCAACAAAATTTCAATGCAAGCTATTGAAAGGTTTTAAATAAGAGTAATTGAATCCAGTTGATGATTTAAGAAAGAAAAATAAGGCCAGGTATGGTGGCTCACGTCTGTAATCCCAGCACTTTGGGAGGCTGAGGTGGGTGGATCACAAGGTCAGGGGTTCGAGACTAGCCTGGTCAACATAGCGAAACCCCATCTCTACTAAAAATAGAAAAACTAGCTGAGCATGGAGGTGCGTGCCCGTAATCCCATCTACTCAGGAGGCTGAGGCAGGAGAATTGCTTGAACCTGGGAGGCAGAGGTTCCAGTGAGCTGAGATTGTGCCACTACACTCCAGCCTGGGCAACAGAGTGAGACTCCATCTCAAAAAAAAAGGAA